GTAAGAAAATGTTAAGCCAATCTTCTTTCCCCAAATAATGTTTCTTTCTTTGATTCTTTTAAATGTCAATTTCAGGTGTTTAGATAAGTTCATAAAAATTTTTTTGAAAAAGGTCCCTAAAGGTGTGGTTTAGATGTCAATAAGTGATAATGCCTGTCTGAACATAAATTTTGTCTTTATAGCTTCTCTTTTGTGTTCAAAGATTCTTGAATAACTGGATTTTCACTTAGCTGCTTTCCTTATGTATGCTATAAAGACCATCTCAAGTTTAATGAAGATTTTAAATTAAGAATCTAAGTGGTTAAGATGTCTCGAATTCTTTTTACCACTTCTCTCCCAGACTCTTTACTGGTGCTTTTAACAAAATCAAAGGAGTAAAGAATTTAACTTTCCCCTTTAAAGCAATGAAATAGCCAAAAATTAAAACTTCCTGGAAAAAAAAAGCAAGTGACCAGAACCAATTGTGTAATTAATTATTCTCCGAAGAAGTTAAGATAGTGCTGTAGTTCTCCTGGAAATAAGATTGTTGACTTTGGAGACCTTTCACTATTGGAGGTCCTTGTTTAGATAGAGCTCCACTGCTTAGTATGTCATCATGTATGATAACATTGTTGGAGTTGGGGGAGGGAAGGTGGATGCCCTCATGGCTTTCTCATTTATAAAATAATAAACTTAATTCCTGTATTTTCTGACAGTCTGTTAACCCTGCCAAAGGCATTAGTTTGCTTCCAGAATAACATGTAAAGTGTGCTTGATTGATGTTTCCCCCTAATTACATGGTATTCTGTAAATTGGGCAGTCCAATAACCGTTCAGTTCCAGTGTATGTTCCTTGCTGGTAAGTGGTATAACCCATTTTGTTCTCTCATAAGCTTATTGACAAACCTGATATACTAACTGAAATGGGACAATGTCAGAACAGTGTAATAAATTTAGTAAATTTAATGAAATTTAGTAAATTCTTGAAATACACAGAATATGTAAAAAAATCTCTTGGCTTTAGTTAGTGGAGAAGGGTAGTGGAGGAGAACACATGAAATCTGAAAGATGATGGTTTGGGAGAGGTGGGACTGTCACTTACGGTATGGGATAGCTCGATCAAGGCTGGGTCACAGTGAGAAGACTGGTCCTGAAACGGAGTGCCAGATGCCATTTGCTTTTCCATTACGAATAGGCTGAGTAAAGTCAAGCTATGAAAGTAAACCTATCATATGGCTGGAGAGGCCATGAAAAGATTCTGTGGTCTTTTGAATAAGATGATGACCTGCAAGAATTTTGTAATTTTTAATTCATGATAATTTCTTTATAAAATTTTATTTTTACATTTGCCACATACAGGTTTAAGAAAATCTACCAAGAAACGCAGTGAGTCGCCACCTGCTGAGCTCCCCAGTTTGAGGCGGAGCACACGCCAAAAGACCACGGGCTCCTGTGCTAGTACCAGGTAATAATTTAAGTTTTTTCACTCTGGTGAGTTCATTTATCTTCTGTTGCTTAGATATTTTCAACTTTTAATCCTTAACTCTGTTTTTTTTTAAATTAGTGAAGTAAAATAATTTTTTACTGGACTCTTGAGTATTTATTGTAACATAAGTTGTATTATCTTTGGGAATTCTTCCCGAGCATTTGTTTACATGTCTTTACTAAATTTTAATCATGCTATTTTTTGATGCCATTTCTATCTTCTACTTTTGCCTCTGTTCCTACACTATTTTCACAGTTGTTGCCAGTAGTTTGTTTTCGGAGTTTAGTCTGCAAAATAAATCTCCAATAAGCATATTTATACATATTTGGGTTGTTTTTAAAAGACAGTTAAATTTCTCAGTAGAGTGATTAATGAATCAAAAGGGGTGCCTGTTTTAATGGCTGTAATATTGCCTAATTAGTTTTCAAAAGTGTTGGTACCAGTTATTTAGTTTAGTGGATAAGGGGGAAAATATTTAATTTTTATTTTGTGCTACACCTTCCCCTCAAGAAAAAATAGATATTGTGTGTGTTCTCTCACATTTCCAATTCCTATTTTCTCCCAGTTGATGTGGATCTCATTTTCAAACGTCAACTACTTCTGATATGATATAGTCCATTATTTCATATACCTTTATTAACTGAGAATCTTATTAAAGGTAAAAATCTTTTCCCTGCAATTTCCTCTTAGATTTTTAGGGTTGGTCTGTTGGTTAAATGCCCTTGTTCTGCTATTTATTCAATAGCCAGATATGAGTTCTATCTCTTTTATATGTACAGTCATGCATAGCTTAATGAGGGGGACATGTTCTGACAAACACGACATTAGGCAATTTGGCCATTGTGTGAATATTATAGAGTGCACTTAAACAAAATAGATGTCTAGCCTACTATACAGCTAGACTAGATGGAATAGGCTACAAACCTATACAGTATGTTACTGTACTGAATACCGTAGGCAGCTAACACAATGGCAAGTATTTGTGTATCTAAACATATGTAGTCATAAAAAGGGTACAGTAAGCTATAGTCTTACGGGACCACTGCTGTGTATGCCGTGGCTCTTCATTGACAGAAATATCATTATGCGGTTCATGACTAAATGCATCAAAAATGTGTGATGGGGGGAATGATTTAAGTTTGCCTTTTCCCTACTGTAACTCAGGTTAGTAGGAAGGTTTTTAGCACTTTTTTTGGTTGTCTAAGATAATCTATTTTCATTAATCTTGGTGCTGGTAAAATAGTAATGTAAACAAACAATATGACTTGTTGTGTAGGAGTCGTAAGAAGTGTACCCTTGCCACTTTAAGTCCCTACTTCTCCACTTCTGTTAATTTGGATTGTTTTAACTATCTGCAGTTAGTAAACCTCTTTGCTTTTGAGGTTTCTTAGCAAAACTTTTATGAGAATCTCTGAAAAAATTTCTTGGTTTTCCAGAGTGTTTGTCCTATTTTGGGACAAATTTTGAGTCTTATTCACTAACGGTTTATAGTCTGAGATATAAACTGAATTCACTGTGTTTGAAAATTAATTTTAAGCTACATGTGAAGTCAGATAAATAAGTGTTAACAATTGTCTTCCTGGCCTTTGTATGCCACCTTCTTTCCTTCTACTCATGACCACTTAATTAGTGCATGTGAAGTTATTAATACTTAGCGTATATGTGATGATGCTGTGCACAAGCCGTCCAACCACCTGCCTGAAACACTCTTTCACAGACCTTTTCTGAATTCGTTGAGATTCTGCTTAAAACTAGTGCCTTGCTAACCTACTGAGGCCATCTTTAGACTAATATTCCTTTAGGGCAGTAGTAACCCTGTGTATCCAATGTGATCAGCCCAGTGTGTTGGCACAAATTCGAGGTTAAATGAATGAATTTGAATCCCAGGAATTTGTAGCTTGGTAAAATGGGTTGGAATGAGCTGCTTCCTTGTGAAGGAGGATTAGCTAAGCAAATCCCTGTTTGGGGAGGCTTTTTCACTAATTAGGAGAATAAACTCTCCTGGTGCCCTCAGAGAAGTCAGAGCGTTCATTTACATGTCAGTTATGCCTGCTCCTGTTTATTAGGTGGCATCTCATTTCATTGCAGTGTGACTTTATTCTAAAACATGTCTTTAGTAGTAGGCTTCTGCATTTCCTAAGGAAATTTGGGGAGCTTCTGTTTAAATACTAACAAGTTGTAATAATTTTGGGGGGTTTCTTTTGTTTCTGTCCCATTTGCTTACTGATTTTTCTATCAAAATATAAAAAAGTCATTGTCGATAAACTAATTTGCTCCACGAGAAATGTGATCATTCTTTTTTCCATATACCTTATTCCTTGCCTCTGTCCTAAACAAACGTCTTCCCAAAGGCCATCTGTATTTATTTATAACATTAAATTCGTAATATTTTATTTTAATGAATGTAGTTATTGTCCATATTAGCATAGTCATTTTTGGATGATTTAGGCAATCTGGAACACAGGGGATGGGAATTTTTCCCCATTCTTCTTTTCTCCCCCTCTCCTCTTCCCATTCTCAGTGTTACTCTGCAAGCCTGTGTATATCGATCCACTATTTACCCTGGAAGTGGTCCTCTATTTTAAATGAATTGAATTTTCTCTGCAGGAATCATTTTTCCATTTATTTGTAAGTGTTTAAAAATCATTTCTGTCTCTAAGGATGACAACATCTCCTAGTTACACAAAAGCTTGTATTGTAAATGCAGTATAACTTGGAAGAATTTTAAGTATACAAAGTCTTGGTTGTTACACATAATGATTTTCTGCAACAATTTTTATTTAAAAAGAATAAACTGGCTTTGTGCTCCATGAATTTGAGCTTTGTGTTGTCTATACATTGCTCCTGGTTCACTGGTAATGCTGCCTATGATGACATTTTTCTGTTGTAGTCGTCGGGGCTCTGGCCTGGGCAAAAGAGGAGCAGCTGAAGCTCGTCGACAGGAGAAAATGGCAGACCCTGAAAGCAATCAGGAGGCAGTAAATTCTTCAGCTGCACGGACAGATGAAACTCCCCAAGGAGCTGCAGGTAGATTGATACTTAGCCCTAAAATACATTTCTGTCTTTTACAGATTGATTTAGAGAGAAGGGAGGGGACAGAAATAAACTAGGTGTTCCTGTCAAATAAACTTTTGTTCTGTTTTGTTTTACTTCACAGATTTGGCATTTTGATTAGCTGGATTTATCATTGTTGTTTTTAAATTGTCCAATCCAAATTTGTACTAATTACATTCAGAGGACTTTTAGTAGGGAGTAAACTCCTTTCTGTTTAAGCTTTTTATATGTTGACTAGAACTTATATATGCCCATTGATTATTTGAAAGAATTTAAATGCATAATAAAAATGTAAGGATGGGCTTTAAATTGCCTCATACATACATAAATTTTAATTTAGAAATTTGCAGGCCCTAAAAAAATAATTTAGTTTGAAAGTATGCAACTATAAGAATAGTGTTTATATTTTTATGGACTTATTTTTATTCTTCTTGATGTATTGGAACAGCAAAAATTAAGGCTTTTTCCTCTCTTGAGTTTTAAATATGTATCCATTACCAATTCCAAAACAAGGCTAATACTTCAACTATTAACTGTGGCTAATGAGTTTTTAAATGTGGTCTGCCATTGATATTTCTCACTGACATACTAACAACAGATACAAAAATGTTCCAGTTCATCATTACTTACTTATGGGTATGAGTCTCTTAAATCAAGATGATAACACAGGTCTAGATGTAGGCATGTACTTACTTTTGAACAAAGTATTTCATATACTGTTGTTTAATATTAGAATGTGTGCTAGTTTTCTTTAATGCCTGTGATTGATCATAGGTCATAGTTTGTCAGGAAGGTTTGGCTTACCCATTATTACTGTTGTCTTCTCATCCTGTTCAGCTTCGCATTTTTTACCACTACTTTCTCATTTTTTTATGATAAATTACATGGTCAAGTTACAGCATGTCTTCTGGTGGGGGAGTTTTTTCCCCATATCTTTTCCCTAGAATTGTTCACTGAAGGGGTTAAATGGTAGATATTTGAAAAGTCCGTTTTACGTGCAGCTCATTGAAACTGTTAATGACACAGCCTATCCTTCCCAGTGTTGTACATTTCCTTCCCAGTCTTTTAATGTTTATTTCAAGCCTGAATATGGAAGTGGGGCAATTCCCAAATGGATGACTGAAATGGAGGTGCTGAATATGTTAAAGTTAGACTCATTACAATAATTGTAGTAGCTAACATTTGTAGAGTGTGTGCTCTACTGTAGACACAGTGCTAAGCACTTCACATATATTCTCATTTAATATTTTAAAAACCTGCTGAGGTGTAAGTGATGTTATAGCCATTTTATAAATGATGAAAAACTGTGACCTATATTGGTTATGCTTGCCTGGAGTTACAAGCTGGGATGTGTGACTTCTGAAATCCAGGTCATAGAAATCAAATGTACGTTTCTAACAGCTGTGTCATTCTGTTTCCCTGTGGTTACAGGCGCTTGTTTAATTCATATATAATTGAAGGCCAGGATGAGGGAGTGGGGTACGAAGTTTTCTGCCTTGATCCATTTACCTAAGAAGATAAAAATGTCCTGGGATTAGGCTCAGTCTTCTTAAATGCTTCATGCGTTTCATTGTCATTTATGATTTTTTCTTTTTTGAATTGGCAGATGAATTGTTACATTGTCAATCATATTTGAAATCACTGTATGATAGGTGTTTTCCAAGTTTGTCCCTTGTAACTGGTGATAAAAGGTACAAGTTCACTGATGTTAGAGGAGCACTGGCTTTATTACATTTTGGAGAATGGATCTCTTGTGGATTATAGAAGTTCCTCTGCTGCCTTACAAAAGAAACAAATTACTTGGCAGCTTTATATTAAGTTCTTTAGTATAATGTACTTTAGTTTCTCTATGTATAAAAGTGGGAACTTAAAAATACAAACCTCTAGATTAGTGTACAGTATAGGTTCAGGGACAGAGAGCACTTTTTAGCAAGTATCCATTCTCAGAAAGTGCTTCTACAGTTTCTACCTTTCATTATATTGAATTGATCCCTTCATTGTTTGTTTACTTTTTCAGTGTTAATTTATTTTTAGAGACCTATTTCAATGTAATCATTGGAATAAATGTATTTTTTCATATGTGGATATTAAAGCCTTGCTCCATCTTGAGGCAAACTCGCTCTATCACCCTGACTTTGCCAGTGTTGTTGACACTTAGAAAAGTTTGTTGATGATGATATCCCTGCTGGATTGCTCTGTAGTATAATATAATATGGAGCCTTAAATTTTCCTTAAGCCCAACCACTTAGCTCTTCATATAAGAAATGCTAGCCTTTGAAGTTGAAAGTTGTGTTTGCCTAATTGTCCCAAGAGTGAGAGACTGACTCCTATGCGTTTTCAGTTTGGACTTAATCGGAGCTGTGCAGCCCTTTGTACTGTTGATGAACTTATACACGTATCAGAGATACTAAAATAAGGAATTAAGTGGTCCTCCTTATACTTGCAGAACAATAAAATGGTAAGGAAAAATAGGCTATGTTCTGGCACCTACATTTTCATTGAGAAAATTTGTAATTTCAGAATAAATGATCAGGGTTAGGTGGTAAAAGGAAAGTAACCCAGTTTTGTAAACTTTTGTTTAATTCCACTGCAGAGTATACTGCTACCATATTACCTGATTCTGGGGTTCATATTAATGTATAATTACTTACTGATAGCCATTTTTCTAGCCTTACTACAAAGTTTTTGTGACACTCCAAAAAATTAATAATAATCATCTTCATATTGTTTCCTGTACTTATGCATCTAGTAAACCGTTAGCATTTCCTGGCAAGTAAAATCTGACTCTGAGCTTTCTAATTTTTTTTTTTTTTTTTTTTTTCTCTTTTAACAAGCCTGTGCTTTTCTCTGGAGCTTTCTAATATTTTATCTTTGCTTTCTGGGTGGGAGGTTAAATCAGTTAACGTACAAAAACTTAACACTCCATAGTAGAATTTTTGTGTTCTGATTTAAACAACATTTTCTCCATTGTTTTCACTTAAGTATATATTGTAAGCTATCTTACATGGCATTATGAAGATATTATAAAACTAAACAGGAGAAATGTCTGATTTAAAAAAAGAAAGATTGACACTGCTGAAAGTCTTGCATTGAATTTTGTCCATTGATATTTAATAGTTATATTTTTGTACTTGACTCTGGGGACAAATCTGGTACATGTGCCCAAGGAGCTTTGAAGTCTTGACTAAAGAACTTTGCAGTTGACTACCATTGATTTTTGTTACATTTTATTATCTGCATGACTTTACAAAACAGCCACCTCTCCACTCTTAGTTAAACTAGCCTAAAGACTAGGCCAGTTTGGGCCATCTAATTTTGGGAAACATACTTAAAAGGAACTACAATGGACAGATGCTTAACACTTGCCATCAAAGGGTTGGCAAAAGAATCCTTTTATTTACAGCTTATAATGTAATTTCTGTCAAAACCAGCACCCCGCTCCCATTAAAAATTAGTCTCTGTCCCTTCTTGTAATGGTTTGATGGTTCCCTAAAGATCAGGACTCCACTGTAGTACAACCTTGGCAGCTCTTTTAATTGTGTGCTTTTTACTAGTTTTATATCTTGCTTAATTAATGTCTTTGTGGCAGTGCAATTTGAGATATTTATTACAAAAGTTATTAGAATAATATGTTTAAGAAGCAATATAGAAACCTTTAATGGTTTTAGATTTGTAGAACATTTTAAAGTAAAATAATGTAGATCCTCTGATAAATAAACTCAAAAAACCAGCATTACCTTAACAAGTGAGGTTTGGTGTTTGTTAATATGTGAGCTCCAGAGTGTGCTTTAAAAAAAACAATTATTGACTGGGCTCAGTGGCTCACGCCTGTAATCCTAGCACTCTGGGAGGCTGAGGTGGGAGGATTCCTTGAGGTCAGGAGTTCTAGACCAGCCTGAGCAAGAGTGAGACCCCATCTCTACCAAAAAAAAAAAAGAAAAGAAAAGAAAAGAAAAAATATTAGCCAGGCAAGTAAAAATAGAAAAATTTAGCTCGACGTGGTGGCATGCTCCTGTAGTCCCAGCTACTTGA